CTGACGTCATTCGAACTAATTTAATAGACTGTGACGTCACTGAGGCATAGAGCAGAGAAATGTAGAGTAGAAATATAGACATAGATTATAGTTTTTCTTATCTTTTTCTCTAATTTTATTGGTGAATTTGTTAGCTAGCTGTTGTTATAAATTTGTAAACGAGCAAATGGCTACCTGAAAAAATAGCATAACCGCATACAATGGAAATCTGCAATTGCAGATTCTTTCAATCAAATTAAGAGGGGACGCACAGAAAGAGGATATTTCCCCTTCGTATCGTCCCCATCACGTCATTTACTTATAAAGAAATGGAAGTAAATTAAAATGTTGGCCTCAGAAACGCCTTTCACATTTAGGAAATGAGTGGGATTATCATATTTTTGTGCATGTTTTTCGACATTGGAAACCCACCATTAGAGAAGATAAGACAGAAAGATTTTATGTAGATTTTACCTAATGGACGATTTTTTTATAATCTGTTTTTTTTTTATTTCTAATAAACTTTTGTTAATCTGTAATTATTAACACTACGCAGATAACGTTGTGAATCCAAAGTAATGAACATTTTCCAAATAAGATATGACCTAAAGGTCTATGTTACCAGGTCATAAAATTAAAAAAAAAAAGCAGATGATGTCACAAGTGATAGTTAATTTTGTAAAAAAAGTTTGGATAAAAACAATAAATTCAAACAACAGTATAAAAAATGTTTTATTTCTTAAACTTCTTTTGCAGTTTCAACAAAGATTCGTTTTTACTTTTCCTCATTTCCTTTTTCAGTGCGCCCGTTTCTATGGCATTTTTCATAACCTAAAAATGTAAAAAAATGTTTATTTTGTCATAAAAATGTATGAATGTATTGCAAAGTAATTTAAAAATATATAATGTATCAATATATAAAGATATATTTATTATAATATTTTTATTTCACTACTATTCGCCCGCGACTCCGTCCACGCAGAATTTAAAAAAAAACAATTACTAGCCTACATGTTCTTCCAGACTATGTTCTATATGTATGCCAAATTTAATCTAGATCTGTTGAGCAGTTCTGGAGATACTTTCAAACATCCATCCATCTAAACATTCGCATTTATAATATTAGTAAGATACTATCAAAGATTGAATACAATCTGTCGAGTGAAATATAAAAAAAACTAACCTGCAAAGCATTCTCATTCGTCTTTTCTGGTTCCATTGTATTTAGAGTTGGGAATTTAAACGAAAATCCTTTGGGAAAGATCGGTCGTGATAATAATGATTCGAGTTGTTTCTTCTTTATGTTCAATGCTTTGTCTATGGACGGATCTATCTCTTTCCTTGGTCTGTGGTTTCAAGTGAAGGTTATTAGTGAAATAAAAAAAAATCCTCATAATGTACAGCAGCGGAAATCCGCGGTGTTCCACTTACAGGATTGCTTCGTTCTATGCAACGAGACAAACTCCGCCTCTTTTTACAAATAACCAATTAGGTAGCAGAGATTTAAATGATTGATGCGGTAGTAACGAGCAATTATCAATGATTTTTTCGTACAGACACATTTAAAAGCTACGTTCAATTGACTAGTTTTTAAAGTGGAACATCGCCAGATTCCCTGATTGTACCGATGTATTCTTCGATTATCGATTTTCATATGTACATTTATCCGAAGTTTTTACAGTATAGAACAACATCGAGATGCTTTGCATATCTGTAAAGAAATTTAAAGATATGTGCGAAGTCAACCAACCCTGAGCAAGCATAGTTGACTAAGACCAGGTAACTAAGGGAACATACCCATACTACGTGACCTATTTTTTTTTTAGTTTTTTCGACCACTCCCTCCCCTCGGTGACCACTTTAGTTTTATGTTTACTACATTCATAATTTTTAATCATTTTACATGCATAAATTGAAAAAAAAATAATTTGGCTCATACTCTATATAGCATAGCTATACTTCTTTATAGCATAAGACTGCATGCATTCTTAAATTACTAGTGAATTATGTATTATGAAAAAAAAACAAGTAACGACTAAGTCACTAAAATCTGAGACCCCCCTCCCCCCACTCCTGTGACTGACTGTAGTATTTTAAAGACTCCGCCGCTAACCCCCCTTCCCCTATACATGTCACGTACTATGGGTATGTTCCCTAACATGGGATAGGCTCGAGTCAAGAGTTTTGGGAAATATAAAAGTTGACGAAAATGTTTTTGATAAAAAGGATACACATCATCATCATCAATAATGATGTCCATCTCGCGCGCAGCTTTCTCCCGCCAGCCCTCCGCCTGCGCGCAGCGGCGACGACGCAACAATAACGCGTCTACATCACGTGCTAGCCTCACCAAGTCTCTTATAGAGGACATGTTGCGTTCATCCACAGGGAACATGGGTAGTTCCGTTGCTAAAATATTTTTTTAAAGCTTACTAAAAGAAGCTCTAGATTTTATCAGTGTGGAATTATTTAAAAAAAAGTAAATAAAAACAGTATCCAATACCATGTTCTTACACATCAGTCCAATCGTTTTGGAGATTACTCGGAAAAAACACGGCTTTCGGACAGACAGACAGACAGACATAAATAAAAAAATGGTGTTTCGTTAAAAGTAAATCAAATACAAAACATACACGAAATATCCATTTTTTCAATTCGATATTACATACAGATAGACCAATTTTATACGTATAGATAAATAATAATTGTGATAGTACAAATTGAACTCTATTTCATACATAAATAAGACTTACTTTTGTTTAGCGTGCGCCGCAACTTGGCGTACGTGTAGGCTTCAGAGGACTCCATCATAAGTATCGTAAGACCTTCTTTACTAGCGCGCGCGGTTCTACCACTTCTGTGCACGTAGTTCTAGAAAAATTATGTAGTCAAAGAATTTAATTAGCTTCCCACTTAGGATACTGCAAAGTGACGACAATACAGCTATATAAATCAAGTACTATCAGGGCATCTGGCGGTATATCACTTTTAAAGCGACAATTCGTTAAACATTTTATAAGCAATATGATGCGCAAACAATAAACAATACGCAGCTTTGAAATATGTCGGTACGAAAAAATGTTGGTCAATAGTACATGACTAATTGCTTTATACTTCAGGGCCAGACTCAGTGTAGGGCAGGGTTGGGCGACCGCCCTGGGCGCTGGGCGGAAAGGGACGCCAAAGGACTGCAAATTACAACCCCCAAGATACGATAAAAATAAAGGCGTTATAGAAATCTCGCCCAGGACGCTAGTCTATTGGAAGGAACAAGGCAATTCTTTAAATGAAACACAGCGGTGCTGGAATAAAGCCGAAAGGACAAGAAGCTGGATCCTTTGACTCATAGTATTGTTATCCTTACCTCAGCAGTCTTGGGTACTTGGTAATGTACCACGTGGTCTACATCAGGGATGTCCAGACCTCGCGCAGCCACGTCTGTTGCCACCAGCACTCCGTGAGGGTCATCACGGAACCTACATATGAAATAATCTTACTAATAATATGTTTAGATGGATGGATGGATGGATGTTATAGAAGGTATCTCCAAAACAGCTGCATGGATCTCGCTGAAATTAGATATTAGATCGCATAGATATAGAACATAGCCTGGAAGAACACATAGGTTACTAATTAATTTTTTTTTTAATTATGCATGGACAGTCGCGGGCGATAGCTATTTTTATTATAAGCGTTAGCATGGCTTGTAATTAATTAAAATAAAAAATTCACCCGGGGATAATACAGTTACCAAACTGTATAAGAATTTACCAAATAGCAAATAGTTTCGGAGTTTATTAAATACAAACAAACAAACAAATCTTTCCTATATTATATACATTAGTAAAGATTATAACAAAGAAAAAAAGACATATTTTAATCGATTATTCACGAACGTGTGTATATTTTTCTTGTACATAAGACGTTTAGTGTATACATGAATTATTAATTAAAAAAAAACTTACCTCTCGAGATTCTTCAGTCGTTGTCTCTGTGGCATACTGGCGTGCAATGGTAGCGGGGAGCACTTCAATAATGTCAATAGTTGTGCTAACCTGTGCATAGTGAAAGAATTTAATTCGCTACCCAGATAATGTAAGATAATACCGAATATCTTATACTATAGTAGATATAGTAAATTAAGAGCGTTGGTGGCTCAGTGGTTTAAACACTTGACTTGGTAATCTACATGTCCTGAGTTCGAATCCCATGTAACAGTGTTTTTCAATTTTATATTTACATATGTACATTTATCCGACGTTCTTACAATGAAGGAAAACATCGTGATGTTGCACATATTTGGCGAAGAAATTCAAAGATGTGTGAAGTCAACCCGGACTTGGCCAGCGTGGTTGACTATAACCTAATCACCCTTAACTTAGGGTAGTCTCCGAGCCCCTCAGTGAGGACGTATATTGAGCTGATGATATCAAACATCTGTTCCAGGAATGGACTTCGCTCAATCCAATACCATGACCACACAGAAAACATGCCCCATGTGGATGTCATTCCAAATACAGTTTTATAATTTTATGTGCCGGAAGACTTAATTTAGTCTTCTTCTCCTTCCTAACCTTTTCTTATAAAGAAAGGATGCAGATGTGGATTTGCCGTAAGAAAATCTCTACCTATTCATCCCCTTCTCTGTCGATAAAGGTAGGCAACGCATATGCAATTGCGTGTCTATGGGCAGTCACTTCGCTATTTAGTAGAATAAAGTTGGTAAGTTCTTTTTGATATAAACACAAATATTTATATAAATATTACTAGCCTTCTAACACTGCCTATAGAGTTGCAGAATACAATAGTTCTGCCTGGATGTCTCTTCAGTATGTAATAAAGATATGAATCTTTATTCTCTAAAGCGCAAGCTATACGACATTCTGTTAACGTTTCTGCCGCACCTGAAAACAGGAAAAAGCGTGAAGAAAAATTAAGCATTTGTTAGTTAAAAAATTTTTTTGTAAAAAATGGCCGCTAATACAAAATGGCGGATTACAATCTCGCACAATATTATATTAATAACCCAAAATGGGTATGACATGATATAAATTGACCTATTTTAAATACTATTTAATCGTCTGTTTTATTATTTAACTAGCAGTCGCCCGCGAGGCCGTCCGCGCGGTATTAAAAGAAAACTTAATAAGCAGCCTCTGTATTCTTCCAAACTATGTTCTATATGTATGTCTAATTACATCTAGATCCTTGGATAAGTTCTAGAGATAAATTCTAATAAACATCCATCCATACATCCAAACATACGCATTTATAATATTAACAAGATTTGACAGATCGAAGTTCTTATTGCGCATTTTTTTCTTTCTGAAAGCAGAAGTTCTGGAAATAAGTAAAGTAACATCCATACATCTAAACATTCGCATTTATAATATTAGTAAGATGACACTCACCTAGATTCTCAGTAGTAATATCGACAACTTTAGGATCAGTCATTCCAATCATTGTGACAAGTTTTTTGATCTTCTGCTGCGGTGTCATCTTCTCTATTTTTCTGTTTATTATTTTCCCGCGCTTTGTAACCTATAATATTGAAATATTCTTCATCATCATCACCACCTCACTATACGTCCCCACCGAGGGTCGGAGCCTACCCTAAGTTAAGGGTGATTAGGCCATAGTCAACCACGCTGGCCAAGTGCGGATTGACTTCACACATATCTTTGAATTTCTTCTCAGATATGTGCAGCATAAGAACGTCGGATAAATGTACATATGTAAATCGGAAATCGAAAAACACATTGGTACATGGCGCGATCCGAACCCAGGACCTGCAGATTGCAAATCAAGTGCTTGACCCCTGAGCCACCGACGCTCCTTCTAATATTCTTACCGTGTGATATTCAATAGATTGACAAGAGTAGAAATTGAATTTAACATGGAAATATAAACAGCATTTTAAATGCAAAGCAATTTAAAGATGTGTGAATATCCCGGAGAGAAGACGACGCGGCTAACCCGTCACGTTCCATGAAGGAAGATTGAAAAGTGGATTGCGGAGGTTCGTTTGGTCTGGCATGGCGGTCCGAGGTCTCTGCCTACCTTTCTAACTGTTGGTTTGTTTAATTTCAAACGCGGTTGTTGATGTTACGTGATAGTAAGTCTATCTATATTAATAATTCGCAAGCACACCACCGCTACAAACCGCTACCATCAGCGCCAAAATGGCGTAAATCGAATAGGCACAATATATTACGTCTTATAGCCAGTCCATTTATAACGATCAGAGATTACAGTGTGTTGTGTTTGTTTGGGTTCTAACATACCTTCTTTCCTTTCATATGTACTGGTAGATCATGAACCAAAGTGAGAGTTGCGGAAAACACGAAGTTCTGTCTCGTGCTGCGCTGTGCTTCATCATCGTTAAGTCTTTCTAAAAGTGGTTGTAACTCTTCGAAATGACCGCGCTCTATCATACGATCTGTTTCGTCTATCGCTAGAAACCTAAGATAATATAACCGTGACTTTAACCATAGACAATTTTTACTTTTTACGTTTCAAATGTCTATGGATCACTTTATTTTAGGAAAATCAGCTGCTCTGTAGAAAACTGTAGAAAAATAATTATGTATTTATTTCAATGTATTCAAAAGTGAGTTTCAGAGCCAAAAAACTTGCAGAATTGCTATATCTGTCTTGTTTTTAGGGTTCCGTACCTCATAAGAAAAAAACGGAACCATTATAGGATCACTTTTTTGTCCGTTCGTCTGTCAAGACCTTTTTTTTAATACAAATGTACGTAAACACTTACTTAACGGATGCTAATTGTTGTAGATGTGGCTGTCCCTGAGTTATAAGCTCCCAGAGTCGGCCTGGGGTAGCGACAACCACTTCGGGCCCGGAGCGCAGAACACGCTCTTGCTTTACTGACGCCATACCACCAACTATGGTGGCTACTTTTATACCTAGATATCCAAATTTATAAACTTTTGTGAGGCATTATAATCTGATTAAAAAGATTTACTATATATTTAGGACTATCCATTGTCTCGTATGGTGTTGGTAGGTAATTCTTTTTTTTGTTTTTTAAGTAAGGGTTCAAGCCCATCGGAGGCCCAGGGTCTCAGGTCGAGTGAGCGACCACATACCAGTCCCACTCACCCTCATGAAGGGCCGAGGGGTTCGAAACTAGTCGGAAACACCGGACGAATATACGTGACTGTTTTATCTTGGGTTTCTGAAAGCCAAATCTCTGTATAAAATGTATCATCATCCCTGTCATTATCTTTTACAAAACAGACCTAACAATATGTTTTAAAAGGAGATTTTGTACTCGGAAACCCACGGTTAGTCGTTTATATATTAGTTTACTAGCTGTCGCCTTCGACTTGATAAGTAGCCTATTTGTTCTTCTAGACTATGTTCTACATCTATGCAAAATTTCATCAAGATCCATTGACCTCTTCTGAAGATACCTTCAAACAAACATCCATCCATCCATGCAAATATTTATAATATTAGTAAGATATCACGATAGTTTGAATAACTAAACATCCTGTGTTACTTTACCTGTATATTTAGCTGCAGCTATCAAATGCCTACTAATCTGTATGGCCAATTCCCTTGTTGGAGTCAATATCAAAGCATACAAAGGCTTCCCCGTTCTGACCTCAACTTGACCTGGCATTTCTACATCGTCGATTACTTTTACACATCCAATACCTGCAAATTAAAAATAATTAGTTTTAAATATAAGATGCTTAAGCACGCGGCAGTCTGAATTCGCTAAAATAGTGAAGTGATCGTTGCGCAGACATTTGCAATTGCAAGATGTGTTGCTGCTTTTATACAGCAGAGTAATTGATGGATAGGAAAAGGGTATTTTCATTTTCTAAGCATCCCCTCCTCTGCAAACTTAATATCCCTTTACCATTTTCCTTATAAGAAAAGAGTTGGCATGGTATGGTATTAATAGATTATAAGTTAATCGTTTTAACATTACATAAATATGAATAAGTAGTTGTCACTCTCGACTCTATTTAAAAACGTAATAAGTAAATTATGTGTTCTTCCATACCATATTCTACATATATGCCGAATTTCAATGAGATTCATGCACCATTTCTGGTGATACTTTCTAATAAACATCCATCATCTAAACATTCGCATTTATAATATTGTAGTAGTTTAGTAGATTACTTACCATTTTCATCAACTTCATCAACCCCATCAGTTTCTTCACCATCATTTTCATTCACATCACCTGTATCCGCTTCATCATCACTTGTTTCCACTAAATCATCAGAATCTAACATCTCTGATAAATGTACATAATCTTCATCACTATCATTGCCTTCATCATGTGATACTTCTTTCTTTCTTATCGGTACTTCTATTTCTTCTATAAATTCTTCTTTATTTTCTTTTCCATTCTCAGTGTCATCTCCACTTGAATAACCTTCAGATGTCTCTTCCGTAGTTTTAATTTTCTTATTTTTATTTCTACCTATCTTTACTTTCTCTTTTGTAGCTTTTCGTTTCACTGACGTCTTTTTGTATGGTATTTCGTATACATTTAAACCTGATTCAGCTTTTTCCTTTAACTTCATGATACCGGATAGAATTGGAAGACCGAAAGCTAATGTCTTACCACTACCAGTCTCAGCTGCTCCGAGTATATCTCTTCGACCTGGAAACAAAAAATAATACAGATTTTATTTAATTGTTTACTCTATTTTATTGTAATTAACCATTGTTTCTCTTGTCATAGAGTATGTCTCTTTTTAAAAAAAGAACAGATGACATCAAAATCCTAGATATTTTTCTCTATACAATTAATTGTCAATATTAATTAAACAAAGAAATGTCAAACTTCATCCATTGCCTTTGAATCATAAGAGAGTATTTTTATTTTGGAATATGCATGTTTTAGCAACAAATACATATAGTTTGTTGAACTTGGGTTAGATAAAAATAAGTTTGGATTCATACACAAAAAAAAATAATTAAACTTACCATGTATTGCAGCTGGTAAAGTCAACTGTTGTATTTTTGTTGGCTTTTTAAATCCTAATTCAGCTAAGGCATTTATAATTTCTTCCGGTAATTTGAATTCAGCCCATGACAACATGTCTTCTGGAGTTAATTTCTCACATGTTTTTGTTATATCACCAAGCTTACGTTTCTTTGGTTTTGATTCTATTTTCTGTATATTTACATCTTTCCTTATTATAGGTTGATTTTCTTTTCTTTTTTCAATAGATTTATTTTCTATTGGCTTTATTTCATTTGTTAGTGATGGTTTTACAATATCGCACACTTCTACAATAAAACCATTTTCGAGTTTCACTTTTTTATTAGGTATTAATGATTTTTCTTGTAAAATTGTTGTTTTATTTGTTGATTTTAGTTTTTGTGTAGTTTTCTTCTGAAAAATTAACATTTAGATTAATTTATTATACTCACAACGTACAAATTGTACGTTTACACAAAATAATATTGGAATATTGGTCTCACAATACGCATTTTACTTAAGTACTATTTTGAACTATAAACTATAATAATTAGGTTTTAAACATTTTTAGACACATCGAAGTTATAGTTTAAAAGATGATTTAAATGTGGGTATTTCAATAATCGTTTTACACACGTACTTTTTTCGATTTCTTTCCATCCTTATCGAGACCATATTCCGTGCATTCTTCGAGTCCAACAAAACCTTGAAGCTTATCCGACATAGAAACTGGAAAGCCTTCCATTGGGACGGATTCCCATTTTAAAGTTTTAATTTTCTTAGACATTTTTAGTGAAATTATAATCAAAACATATGATTTTATAACCTAATCTTCTCCGGCGTGATTTTGACACTGATTTGATTGACAGACGAAGGGGTTGCACACCACATTGTGCGTTATTTTCTGTTTCTCAATTCTACCAAAAATAACCGTTTTATATATTACATTTTATTTTTTAAGATTTATGAGGTGGGGATCTGTTCAATTTTATTTTTATAAAATATTCGAATTTAGAAGAATTTTTCCACCAAAAAATAAAAATGGATCCATAAAGTAAGATATCTATTGCATCGTCATTCACAGATTACAAACGAAATAAAAAAATAATAGCACGCTGCCGCTCCAACCATAGATTTAAGGAGGGAGGAAGTTTGTGAGTGATCGATTTTACACCGGCCCCAAACTTCTCAACGGCATTTCTCTTTGTTTGCCATTACGCGCGTGGACAATTTTGAAACAAAAGTATCGAGTCAGTGCCGCATTACTAAAATGGCGAACACGTTTCGCGGAGTGACGGTGTCCGCCGTCAACAATGACGGGGCTCTAACGCCGCGGTTCAATTTCCCTACAAACGTAAACGTGGATTACGATCCTCAAGGGCTAAGTGTAAAAGTGATACGTGCCGACCCTGTTCTAGCACAAGAGCTGTTGGAATTTCCCGTCCACAATCTGAGTGAGTGTTCAAGGGTAGCGGGCCAGTCGTACATCTTCACGATTGACAATGAAACCTTGTTTTTCAAATTCGCATCAGACGCTGACTGTCAGAATTTCCATCTACTGGTCACGAAAATTAAGGCTGGCCGGTCGTCGAGCGTGTTTACGGTACGCACGGAGGACTCGTCCGCGATGCAATACTTCCAATTCTATGGATACCTTAGTCAGCAGCAGAACATGATGCAAGATTATGTTAGGACAAGTACGTATCAACGTGCCATTTTATCAAACCTTAACGATTTCAAAAACAAGGTTGTTTTAGACGTTGGCGCGGGTTCTGGTATTTTATCTTTCTTCGCTGCACAAGCTGGTGCGCGAAAAGTGTACGCGGTTGAGGCGAGTAACATGGCGCATCACGCGCAAGCCCTAGTAAGGGCAAATGGTCTTCACGATCGCATCACTGTAGTCGCGGGAAAAATTGAAGAGATAGAACTGCCTGAAAGTGTAGATGTGATTATATCTGAACCAATGGGCTATATGTTGTATAATGAGCGAATGTTGGAGACGTATTTACATGCAAAGAAGTGGCTCAAACCTAATGGTAACATGTACCCAACTCGTGGTGACCTACACATTGCTCCCTTCACCGATGATGCACTCTTTATGGAACAGTACAACAAGGCAAACTTTTGGTATCAAACATGCTTCCATGGTGTAGATTTAAGTGCATTACGTACAGCTGCTATGAAGGAATATTTTAGACAACCTATAGTTGATACATTTGATGTCCGCATTTGTATGTCTAGGTCGGTGAGGCATGTTGTTGATTTCCTCAATGCCAACGAAACTGATCTACATCGTATTGAAGTGCCATTTAGATTTCAGCTTACACAGTCTGGAACTTGCCATGGACTTGCATTCTGGTTTGATGTACTATTTGCAGGAAATACCCAGCATGTTTGGTTATCTACAGCACCCACAGAACCTCTAACACATTGGTATCAAGTAAGATGTTTGCTTGAGACACCAATATTTGCCAAGCAGGGCCAAGCGCTTTCAGGCAGAGTGCTTTTGTTAGCAAACAAGAGGCAGAGTTACGATGTTACCATGGAGATTAATCTAGAAGGAACAAATATTTCATCTTCTAATACATTAGATTTGAAAAACCCTTACTTTAGGTACACAGGGGCACCAGCTGCTCCTCCTCCTGGAGTGAATACAACCTCTCCAGGTGAGGCATATTGGAACACAATTGATGCAACGGGAGGCTTAACTAACGGACAAGTAATTCTCACTGATGGTACCCAACAGTACTGCACAACACCAGATAAAACAATTGCCTATGGGGCTCATCCGAACATGATTAAGACGGTGATGTTGCAAGAAGAGTTCATCAAGAGGATCGGGATTAGTCAAAACGGGGATATATAATCCGCAAAGTCGCGCCGTGCGCGCCTGAGGGCTCTTAGAAACCGTCAAAACCGGTTGTGAACTTTCTTCCGTTTGAACATTGTAGTGTTTAAGCAGACTTATTTATTTACAAGGAAAGCATCACAGTTTTTTTTTTGTTTAACGGGGGTTATCGACAATGTGAACTCATTGGTATGATCATTCTACATAATCATGTATTAATGTAGTTGCTGGTTGCACTCTGGCAAAGTATCGATCAACCCTTTTAGATGGATGTTTTGTTGAGATATTTCTACGACGCTTATTAGTGTAATATGAAATGGACATTGCTTTAAACCATTTTATGTAAATATCCCCCCGATCCATTTTATTTGACGATTTATAAAACACTACGGAAGGGTTGGTCTTGCAGAGGCAGCTTTAACTGTCATTGTTCAAATCTACAATTTTTAATCGTAAATAGAATCTGTCTTCATATTTAATTAAGGCCATGACAATTGAGAATTTTCTATAAACCGGTCAGAGTTCCTTATCCTACCGTTAGATTTGTGCAGTGACAGTTGTATTTTATTAATTAAGTAACGTAGTTCTTGCAAGTACACCTAGAATTAAGAGGAAAGTGCTGAATTTGACTATGCTAGTGTTAATACTCATATATCATTAATGGCCCAAGTTATTTCTAAAATAAGTAATTTTTGATGTACCATTTCATAATTTCTTTTTTTTTTAGAAAATCCTGTCTGCCAATTATAGATTCTTGTTTTTTTATGCAAAAAGTTACACAATGTGTTTGAAAATTGTGTCTATTATTTTAAAAGTTACCATTTCTATTGGCTATAAATTGTAATACTGATTGTGTTTCTGGCCACCAAGATAATTCTTTATTTCTATTCCATATAGAAAGTAATAGAAGAAGAAAAATATATATATTTCAAAATCAGTTGACTCATTTAGGCTACACAATTGGACGTATAAAATAACACACAACCCATTAAATAACCTTCTGTTAATTTTGCAAAAATGGCAAACTATTTAAGTTATTTTTTCAATATGCTATTTTATATTTACCTGTTGTTTACTGCACCTTAAGTTTTTAAGAAGTACTATCAAGATCTAACACTAATGAATTTCCATCTGTGTAGATCAAATACTAAAAAACTTAAAGTTAATATTGCTACTTAAAATTTCAGTATTAACAACATTAAACCCTGGATTGCCTTGAAAACCAGTTTAAGTGAAATTTAATAATAAATTTTGCAAAAACTCCTTTTTCTACCTACCTCAAATGAAGTGAAGAAGGGTTTGGTTTAACTATAAAGCATTAATAAGGTTTCCAATGGTGTGCTAGAGTAATTATCATTCACTGCTATATGATTCCTTGGTTTTTTATAACAATCTGGCGACATTTCAAAAGTTCACTGTATTATGTTTTTTAAAAAGTGCTAACGTAAATGTAAAAACTTGGCAACTTTCACTGTCCAAGATATTTTCAACTGTAGTTTGTTTGGAATATGTTTATAGCTGACAGATATACAAAAAGAAGAATATAATTAGTGTTATTATTTCAAAAGAGATAGGGTCCCTCATGAAGAGAACATACTATTTCCTTAAAGACCAGCAACATGTCTGAAGTTCTTCTGGTGTTGCGGATATCCTTGGGTGTTATCCTAGGTGATTTGCCCCCTTCTTTTAAAAAAAAAATAGTAGTGATCAAGTAAAATCTAATCCAAACCCTTCATTTGATGAACTGCTTTACACTAATTCCAAAATATTTCAGGTTTCTATCCTCATTTTACAATACAATTTAAAATATTATTGATAGCTATTTATGGGGTTTGCTGCTGTTTACTTAATTTCCGCATTGGATTGTATATAAGGATAATTGTTGAAATAATAACTCAATAAATCACAATAGGTCACAGATAACAAAAGACGCACTTTGAACTTTATGAATAAATAACCAGACAGTGTTGTTTTCAATTTAAAAATATATGTATTTAATTAGTAGTAGTTTTCACCTTAAAGATATACATAAACATATTATGTTATTTCATTCCTTGGAAACAGATGAAGATTTTTTGTACTTTCTTTTCAAAGTTGTTGAAAATAATCTTGGATTGAATACATTCATATCAATCTTCAAGCGTCAATAGCCTAATGGTTAAGGGTACGGATTTCCGATCACGAGGTCGGGGGTTCGAATCCCGACATTAGAGTTGTAAACCATGTCCTAGCACAAGCGAGCTAGAGCTTAGTTGGAATGGTAAAAGAAATATTAGTAAATTAACAAAAAAATCTGCTAATATTTGAATAAAAAAAATCTATGTTATGGCTTTTTCTGGCAAAGAATTTAAAAATAATATAAGCAATAGTAATTATTACAAATAAAACAGTTGTTTAATAAATTTATCTAAGTAACAATAACAGGGCTTTATTGATGAAACTCTGAGAAACATTGAACATTCTGTATAACCATGTTTCTAAAAGATATACAGGATGCTCCAAATTTGACTTTTATATGTTCATTCGTTTTTTAAGGGTTTAACTTAAATGGGGCATTTAAAATATGTGCAACATGTGATTTGAATGTAGACCATGTTCTACACATAATAAGTTCTTGGTAAACTTTTCTACCTCACTATTTGGCAGACGGGTTTTTATTCACAAAAAAACATTATTTTCTTAAATAGGGTTGCCAGAATTAGAATGATATCTTTGTAAAGTTGTAATGTGATAAGCTAAGCAATAAATATATTTTGTCAACATTAACAGGGCATTTTGTAAATAATTGCGTGTACAACATTGGGTTTATAAGGTATTTTATTATATGTATTGAAACTTATTTAGTTTTGTAGTAAGTATATTTTGTACGGTCAAAATATTTGAAGGATTGGCAACCCTAATCCTGTTTGTGTTCACTTGCCATTTGACTTCAAATAGTATATAAAAATATTAAGTTGAAACTTCCATACGTTAAAAATTAATATGCAACTCCTGTAATGTTTGAATAGC